CTAGAGAATGGGAGAAAATATTTGCAAATGATGTGACCAACAAAGGATTAATCTCCAAAATTTACAAACAGCTCATGTGGCTCAATACCAAAAAAACCAACAACCCAATCAAAAAACTGGCAGAAGACCTAAATAGACATCTCTCCAAAGAAGACAAACAGATGGCCAAGAGGCACATGAAAAGATGCTCAACATCACTAATTATTAGAGAAATGCAAATCAAAACTACAATGAGATATCACCTCACACCAGTCAGAAGTACCATCATCAAAAAGTCTACAAATAATAAATGCTGGAGAGGGTGTGGAGAAAAGGGAACCCTCTTGCACTGTTGGTGGGAATGTAAATTGATACAGCCACTATGGAGAACTGTATGGAGGTTCCTTAACAAACTTTAAAGAGAGCTACCATATGATCTAGCAATCCCAATCCTGGGCATATATCCAGAGAAAAACATGGTTCGAAAGTATACATGCACCCCTGTTCACTGAAGTGCTGTTTACAATAGCCAAGACATGGAAGCAACCTAAATGTCCATCGACAGATGAATGGATAAAGAAAGTTGTGGTATATATATATATATATATATATATATACACACACACACACACACACACACACACAATGGAATATTACTTAGCAATTAAAAAGAATAATATAATGTCCTTTGCAGCAACATGGATGGACCTGGATATGAACATACTAAGTGAAGTAAGTCAGAGAAAGACAAATATATGATATCACTTATATGTAGAATCTAAAAAAAAAAAAGTGATACAAATGAACTTATTTACAAAACAGAAACAGACTCACAGACTTAGAAAATGAACATATGGTTATCCAGGGGGGGGAAAGGGACAGATTGGGAGTTTGGTATTGACATGTACACACTGCTATATTTAAAACAGATAACCAACAAGGACCTACTGTATAGCACAGGAAACTCTGCTCAATATTCTGTAATAACCTGAATCGGAAAAGAATTTGAAAAAGAATAGATGTTTGTATAACTGGATCACTTTGCTGTACACCTGAAACTAACAAAACATTGTTAATCAACTCTACTCCAATATAAAATAAATATTAAAAACATTTAAAATATAAAAATGAAGAAAGAAAAGTCCTAGGGGAATACTTCTCAAACTTCAGCATGTATTCTACCATAGGTGACTGATGCAAATTTGAGAATATTGTTGGATATAGCCTGGGTTCCTCAGAAAGTATTGTTGAGGCAGAGAGATTCTGTATTATTAGGAAGTAAAGTCATGGGAAAGGAGAATGAAGCAGGTTAGGAGAGTGGCAATGTGAGGTGTTTCTGAGCTGGCTGCTGCTGAGTGTGACTAATTGTTAGAGTCACAGTAATCACCCCGGAAGCTATAGATGGTGAGTCTCTAGACTGTCCATGATTGATGGGAACAATAGAAAGAGGGGAGAATTTATTCACTAGTTCTTGTCTTCCACTTGTCAATGGTTCCCCTGCTGGGTTATGTGCGTTTTGGAATGGTAGGGGTAGGGGCATGGGAACAAAAATAGGGTGCTCTGCACCTACACATAGTTGGCTGGAGCCTAAAAGCAGTGGCAGCTGAAACAAGAGATGGTGAGTCTGAGAGAATCTGAAATGGCTCATAAAGTGTGTCTGAAATGATATATACCTTAAAAATTAAGAAATCCCTCAGATTACTGGCTTGGTTTGAGGCATGGAACTTACCAAGTATTGTGGCCAAAAAAACCATAGGTCTTTTTTGGGCCAGGCTAGGTTGTGGCTGCTTAGGTATTGATTTCTTTGACACTTACTGAAAAATTAAGCTGTTCAGAAGTTTCCAGGTGACCTTAACTGATCCATATGAAAGTGCTATCATTCAGCTGCTTTGGGACTACAAAATGGCAATGTCATATGGTTCAATTAAATAGAATATGTTAAGACTTTCCATAGGGAACCCTAGGAACTGATATACTTGCTTAGAAAACACTTAAGACAGGAACCAGCAGAGAAAAGGATCTTAGGTGGTGAGTGGATATTCAAAACAAGAGTGACTAGGATGTGTGAAAAAGGAAGATGAAATGCATCAGCTTCCTCAATAAAGGATTATGGTAAAGACTCAAACATTCAAGACACAATTATTGCCCTTGCAAATCAAGGTTATGCACACGTCTCTAAAATAAGTACTGAGTCAAATTCTAGAATAATTTTGAGGGAAACAATTTTTCTAAATAAAATATAGTCTGTGAAGTGATTTACATTATTATGCAGAGCCACATCAATCCCTAATGTGTTCACATTCTGGCTTCCAGGCTGTGACCTGGGTTTACTGGAATAAGCAAATGTGCTATCAATTTTAGAGAGCCATCTACTCAGTGATAGCTACAAGGACTTGGAAGTAATCTGAAATCATGATTTTTCTGTGAGTTAGCCCAGATCTGAGTTTCATCCAGGGCACCACTGAACCCTCCCACTCCATACTATTTTCTGTAAGAAGGAAGAGAAGGTAAGGATTTGGGTACCTCCTTTATAATTAGAGAGTTTACACTTAAGTTACACTATGAAATTTTTTTCTGATTGTAGTTGATTAAAGGATTGTCTTAATAAATGCATATATATCAATATTAACTTATGCCTTTTGAAGAACAATTTGAAATAAGGCTAAAGTAAAAAGGATGAAAAAAATAAAAACTAACCATGAGTTAAGTGAATAACCTCTAAGTTTCCTTAGAATAAGACATTTAGCATTACGGTTTTTCATTTTATTATGAAGTGACCTTAGGATGCAGATATTCCTCAGTCTCCTTCTGGAAGGTAGGATACATAAGACAGATATTTAAATAAATCTAATAAAAATAAGGATGTATTAAGTTAAATACAGAGTACTGTATAATCTTTAAATGTAAATAAAGTCTTCTTTGTGGCACTAGTAATTCTCTTATATTAAAAGGAAATACAATTGTAGGCTTCCTAGACAAAGTTGCTGCTCGAATCCTTTTCTACAGTAGGGCAAGCCCTATTCCTATTCCTAAAAAAGACTAAGACCTCCTGATATGGAGGCGAAGCCTCAGGATTGTCCTGATCTCTTTAAGAAAGAACTATAGTCTATTTCTTAAGTTTATACCCATTTCCCACATAGACAAGTCCTGTGATAAGTATTGATATATCTGCTTGTTACATCTGAAGGTCTAATTAGTAGAAAAATACTGCCTCTTGCCTTTATAGAGACCAACACACTTTTTAATCAGCAAACATAGCATTAATATTTAAAAAATAGTTCTGTGTTAGACATATTTCAAATTAGAAAAACAGATTTTAACATTAACAAGATACCATGTTGATACAGGGTCTTGGAAATCATTTTATTTTTTCTTAAGAAATTTTGTCCTGCTATGTATAAATGAAATAAAATTAGTCACAGTATGGGGGTTTTACAATGTAAAAAGGAATAAGTGATATTTTGTGAATCTATAAATTAAGCTCATGGAATTAGTGGACAGTACTTAATATACTAATAATCCAGCATCTAAAAAATGCAGTAAAAACTCTATCAAGTAGATAATAAAGTTTCCAGAAATGGCAAGAACTGACGTATCATTTAAGAGCATCACAAAAACAAACAAAATAAAAAACCCTACAACACAGAAAGAATAACGTATCTGTAAGATTTATCTATAAACCTTCCCAAGAAAGCCCTGGGGAAATAGTTAGTGATCACTAAAATGAGTGAAGTGAGAGCTTCCTATGACCTTAGGATGGTACATTCTGATATACACACACATGCACACACTGAGCCTAAATAGAGCTTAATGTGAAATTGGCTTTAACTCCAACATTAATGATTACTCTCAATTAAAGGAAATGTAAACCTATCTCAGTAATATTTTACTGTAACATTATAACATTTCATTAAATAATTGGAAGAGTTTATAAAGTTTTCCGAAAGACAATGAGACACACAGACACACACACACACACACACACACACACACACTGATTTCTGGGCCTAGGCCTTTATGGATATATGCTATTCCAATAGTCAAATGGCAAAAATTTAGAACATTGAGGCAAAGCCATAAAATATTTGCAATTAAGAAAATATTTTTAGCTATAGTTGTTACTTGGGGTCGCAACTTAAAATGCATATCCACAAATTGGATTATTAATGCGCCTACATTTTACCACGTTTCAAGACTGTCAACACTAGTCATCAGTTAACTCAAAATATTGGTAAAAGTCACTGAGAAATCTGGAAGACCACGCCAGACGCTTGGGGATAATCTGTGTGTGATTAAACTTTGAAACATTAACATGTCTGATGTTTCAGAATCAGCCCCATCTGTTGCCACCCATTTAAAGAAAAGGAAGGAAAAAGACATCAGAGGGCCAAGACATCAATATAACTGGGGGGGGGGGGGGAAAAGGATTTCAATGAGCATTACTTTTCAGCTATTCGCATCTGATTTTTCATCTTTAATATAATTATTTAAGAAAGAAGTAATTTCAAATTGTTCTATTCCATTTTAGAATGCTCTTTAGCTTTTCAAGAAACCTTGTAGAGGTTAAGAACACAAATTCTGGAGCCAGATAGTCTAGACTCAAAATCTGGGGTCTTTTGTTTATTTGCAATGGGACTGTAGGCAAGTTACTTAACCTCCTTTGCCTCACTTTCATCATCTATGATAGGGGTCGGCAAAGATTTTATGTAAAGCCCCAGACAGTAAATAATTTCATGCTCTGTGGGCCACATACTGTATCTGTTGCCTTTTTTTTTTTTTTAAATAACGCTTTAAAAATGTAAAACCATTATTAGCTCAAGGGCCATACAAAGACAGATTAGTAGTTTGCTGACCCGTGACCTACATAATAGAGATAATAGCGCCTACCTCATAGAACTGTTATGATGATTTTTTTTGAATTTTATTTATTTTTTTATACAGCAGGTTCTTATTAGTTATCCATTTTATACATATTATGTTATTAAATGAAGTAATATACATATATAAAATGCTTAGAAAGTACCTGGCACATAGTAAAACCCACAAAAATGTTTATTATTTCTACTATATTTCTAACCAAATTTTATTTTCAAAGTACCTCCTATTCCTCTATGACTTCTAGCATTACTTGGTGACTTGAAATTTGGTGAAGAATTAAATTTTTCCTTTTTGGTTTATTCTAAATCACCAGAGAAAAGCTTAATACTATATGTTCATGAAGCTGCCAAGTGTGGCATTAAAATCGAATGATCAGAGGGAAGAATCAGTAATGGTCCTGAGGCAGTTCCTTGTAAATCCCAGAAGGAACATCCTTAATAAGAAAGATTCACAATAAAAATGTAATAAATAAGTTACTTGAAACATTTAATTAAACACAATAACCATTTCTCAAAGTATTTCCTTCCAGTCACAGAAATGAACAAACCTATTATAACATCCATTTAAGTGAGCATTTAATATCGGTTTTATTTATTTTTTAACTAAGAAGCAAGAAGGAAAAATCAGAAAGCAAATCATTTTTAATGTATTTTAATGTACCAGAGCTACATGCAGGATGTATTTGCCTTAAGTTTTCTCTAGAGTAACTACATATATTTATGGAAATCACAATATGGTGGGAAAAAAATAAGTAATCAGAAGGCAATTCATAATTTTTAGCAGACGACCTATAAATGAAAAATATATACAACTCAGCTCTTTTGTGATTTATAAGGCACAGGCTGAAGAGGGCCACATTATAAATATTTAAATGCAAAACATACAATAGGCTAACTTTTGAACATTTTATGAGGTGTCACATTGAAATGTGGAGCTTAATGAACTAAACTTTGTTAACACAGTGATGTCTAAACATAAAAAAACACTTGCTTGAGCTTTAATGCAATAAATTTTAATTGCATAATATGTTAAATACAAATGCAATAACCTCAGTGTATGCACACATGGCATGCTGTGACCACTGTAGCCCAACTTGCTTCTACATAATCTTTACATGAAAATGTAGAGTATGAATGGATGTTTATAGACTATAAACTAGATCTGGAGATCATGAAAACAAAGGAAGCATTTAGTACTCTCTTCTACATATTTGCATAGGTGTAAATGACTGTAGTTTGTGGAATACTAATTTAGAATCAACAAATCAACATAATTTCAAGAATTATTTTTATCATAGTCATTCTTGTCCAGAGTTTAAAGTTTGAAGTGTTAATAGACTTAAAACAAGCAAAAAGAAGAAAACAGTAGTCCCTTGTCCCTGACCTCCAGCACCCCAATCCTGGTCTCCCACCCCAGTGAGAGATTTTTCCCATCCTTTTAGCTATTCTTATGGCAGATATCTCTATATTTCTAAAATCAGTAATACTCTTAGCTCTTGAATCATCCATTTTAAACAGACTGTTTGGTTCTGAATCCCAGTACCACCATTTACTAGCTCTGTGACCATAAACAACCTTTTTTAGGCCTCAGTTTCCTTGTCTATAAAACAAACACTAGAATCTACTACATAAGGCTATTATGAGGATTATATGATGCAAAATCCCATACATGTAATAATATCTTGCTCAAAATATAGTGATAGCTTTTATCATTGTTATTGTTACCTTACGGTAGATGAGGATTTGAATTCTCTTAAAACACCCCTTTCTCCATCCTCCTAAAATAGTTATAGCATATTAGGGTTTTTTTGTTGAATTACAGTGTTTTCATGTTCATGTCTTTTTTATATTTGAGGCACCTCTAGATTAATGAGACTTACTTTGTATCTTCATCAAAACAATTTATGAGAGGCTGGCAAGCTAGCTAAAATGCTGGATCACTGGAATATTCTGGATGACTTTCAATGTGCCAAATTCGAAAGCACTGGGATTTCTGGACTAAGAGAAACTGAATTATAGAACTTTTACTGAAGTTTTAAAAATATTTTATTCAAATCTCTGTGAAACATACCACTACTGTAGTTATCATAATACATCTTTATTACTCACTTACCTTTTGTCTTCTGTTTTCATCATTTTCACACCTAAGGATATTTATGATGTTACACATTATATATTACAGTTTTTCTTTATATGTAATATTTTCAGAATTTACACCATTGCTCTATCCACTGTTTCCCAGTGATTAATTAAAAATGAAAGCTTCTATTTAGAGTTTACAATTATAAGCAGTCTCTAAGTTGTGAGAAGTAACACAATTTGCATACAGTAGATGGCAGAGATATGTTTAAAATTCTAAAAAACATTTTTGTAGCAGTTTATGCCCAGGAAAAACACAGTTGGTGAGTCACAGTCTATTTTAACAAAGTACTGCAGTAAACTGGAGACATTTTAAAGGAAGAAAGAATAAGTCAGTTGTAATAATTATGAAGAATCACATTAATTCATTTTTATACCTCTTAATCTTAAAATGCAATATTTTCAGTCAGCCAATGAAATAAAATTAGATACTCTGTATGAAAAGATTCTCAAATTCTCCCTCATTAAATTTTAAGTTCTCTGAGGATAAGGAATATGTTTTGTTTACCTTGTATCACCATTGCCTAGGACAATGCCAAACTAGTATAGGTACAGAGATGTTTCATTTATTTATTCAGTGTTTTATTCACTGAATAAATAAATTCAGCTTAACTTGGACTCAGGTAATTTACAAATGTTTGACAGTAAAATACCAAACACCATATTAACACAGCGTTATTCTTTTCAGCATATAAAGCACACTAGTTTGTATATTACATTTTATGTTTTATTGATGGTGACATATAGCAAAACTTCAATATATATTAATTACCCATGGTCCCTTATAAATATTTAAAAGTTCTTTTTCACAAGCATAATCCTACTACAAAGTTATATCATAAGCTAAGTTTTTAGAAGACAATTAAAAAAATAAAATGCATTAAAGATATCATAAATCAAGATGAGATACTGAGATAACTCTGACTTTACACATTCTTATTACAATCAAATGTAGACCTTTCAAGAAGTTGATAATTCTGGGGAGGGAGCCCTTCAGGAAACATTTAGTTTTTATATAATTAATGGCCAGATTAGCATACCTGAAGTCTTATGTTCTTAAAAACCTCATTCAGAGTCCATAAATATAAGCAGAAGATTATCAAGTATTCTTAGATGTAAAAACTTTCAAAAAATTTAAAGTATTCAGTTTGCCTTAATATATATTCCTTGAATTGAAAATTGTTGAGGTTTCCGAATACTATCTTTTCATGTCTTCACAGCCTGGATCTGATCTGATAATAAAAACCAAATAAAAAATTATCAGTCTCTACAGGGCAAAACCCATTCTCTAAAGTAATCCAAGACATATCCATAAGAACATGGTAGAAACCTATGTGTATGCTTTTTTCTTTTTAAAAGCACAATTCACACTATAGTTTGTATTTCTGTCATTGTACATGCACCTAATTAAAATCAACTAGTTCTACAAGGCTTGTATTAAAAAAAGCAGTTCTTGCCTCATCCCCTCTTTCTCCTTTCACAGGCAACTACTTTCAACTCCCTTTTAGGTGATTACCGGTGTATCTCTAAATAATATGCTTTTATTATTACTTCTTGAAATATCAGTTCCTTCAATGTAATAAGGGGCTTCGGTTCTCACACACTTGTACACTGTTCTTCTGCCACGCTCATCATGTGACCAATACTCCCATTTTCCTAACACAGTGATGTAGTCATCAATAGGATGACTATATGAATGCTATTCACAGCTGAAATGAGTGATATACCCCAGTTACTTTTCCTTTCTTCTACTACATTTTGTTTTCCCTGCAGTTACTAATTGTTCTTCATCCCCAACCCTGCTTTAGCTTTTTTTTAAAATGTACTTAACATTAATTCAATCCCACTACTCTCACACTGTTTCAACCTTTACTATTATGAAGCATAATACACAGTCAATCAATTTCACTTTTTTAAAGAACTCTCCCTTAGTCTTGTGTAAAACTATTTAATCTGAACCAGTTGTTCTCCATGTTTGCCCAGTTATTTTCATATGAGATCTTTCATTATCACTCTAGGATCTCCACTATCATCCTAGGGATTCCTTCCCAACTCTCTTGTGCAGATTTTCCTATTTCCCTTATTTTTTTTTTCTTGTTGGTTTATTCTTTTGTTTTTGATCAGTACACCTCAGTGGCTACCTTAGTAAATGGTATAGAAAGTGAACTCTTCAGACTTTACATGGCTGAAGATGTCTTAATTATACAGTTATAATACACTGATACTGCCAGAGAATATTATTTTCTCCTTAGATTCTTCCAGGCATTGCTTCCAAGTGTTGCTGGTGAGAAGTCTGTTGCTACTTTGTTTCCTTATCCTCTAGATGAAACCTCTTATTTTCTTCTCAGGAAACTTGTAGAATCTTCCTCTGTCTTACAGTGTCGATTTTAATAATGATGCACCTTGGTGTGGGAATATTTTCATCCACTGCATTGGGCTCTCAAGGGGCCTTGCAACTAAAAACTCATCATTTAGTTCTGGAAAATACTGTTTGATGGTTTATTTGATGACTTTCTCCCCTCTTTTTTCTCTGTTCTCTCTTTTAGAACTTCTTATTAGGTTATTGAGCCTCCTAAAATGACTCCTTACTTTATCTTTTCTTTCCATTCTTTGTCTTTTTTGCACCTTCTGAGAGATTGTCTCTTTTTTATCTTCTTTTTATTGAGTTTTCCATTTCTACTATTCTATTATTATTTTCCAAGAACTCATTTTTTTTGTTATTTTTCAAGTAGTATTCTTGTCATATTCATGAAAGTAATACATTCTCTCTTATCTCTTTGAAGCTACTCTAATAGTTTTTTGAAATGTTCTCCCTAAATAGTCTTCTTCTAATCTGCTTTTTTTTGTTTATGTTCCATAATTCTAATGTTTTGATCTTCAAATACTTGGTGATCTTTTGCTATCTTCTCATATGTATGAGTGAACACTATAAAGCTGACTGGAATTTTGTTACATGTGTGAGGCTTGTCAAAAGTGATCTTCAGTCTAGTGTATCTAGCTAAGCCGTTTCCTTGAGAATTTCTGATGTTAATACCTTTAGGTCTTTTCTCTTAGTCTGGTCTGACTCCTCAAAGTTGACTTGCTGTCTCCTACCCGTTGCCAGTGTCTTCTAGGAGAAATAGGAGAAGGCAGAAGACGGTTATAACCTTCAGTATGAAACTTTCAGTTACTCCTCATTTTCAGGTCAGCATGCCAACATACAGTTGTGCTTGGTGTTCTCCAGTCCAGGGATACTATTTGACTCTCTGCAAAGAATGAAACTTCAATCTTCTTTTGGGGCAAGGATGTATAATTGTCTTCTCCTTTCTGTCTCACTTCATCCTTATTTCCAATTTCCATCAATTTCTGAGCCTTTGAGGGGATCTGCAATGTAAATTAGGATGCTTTCCAGCTTTCTCCAGTGCTAGCTTAGAATTCCGCTTTCTCAGGTCTGTTAAGTTATTCAACATTCATCAGATATTTGGCTTCCAAAATCTGGTTGCCATTTTTGTCGCTCCCATTTTTTTGGGTTAAATGGCTTTAAACAAAAGTCTCTTTACTGTCAGTGAGATCTGAAGAGGGGATGAAACTAAGTGTGTGTTCAATCCTCAGTCTTTCATTGGAATACTCATATGCATAGTTTATAAAATTCTTATATTAAAACCTGGAAGCATTATTAACTTTTCACATACAGATAAAGTGATACAATGAATAAGTTTCATTAGTCACATGAGAGGATTTCATTTTATAAATATCTCTCTTTACCTCTGCAATGGTTTCTGTATATTCTCTGGTGGTTTTAAAAAATATTTCATAGTCTACTCATGGGTTCTTGTCTTTGGCTGTAGTGCATAGGTAATTATTGAGAATCCTTCCAAAAGAGAATGGAATCATGGCACAAAATGTGTCATTTAATGTTTTACCCACAATTTTTCAACCGTAAACTTAAAATAATAAGATTAAATTCGTCCAAAATGAACCACAGGCCTTCTGGTTTATCATGCTAGGAAATTTCAGAATTTTGCAAGGAAAATGAAGAGATATAAGTTCAGAACATCCTTCACAGATTTACAGAAAAACTTTTGGCTAATAAGTTAACAGATATAGGCACAGACTAGTCTCCTATATTTATTGCTACCTATTTTGCAGTATAGGTTTTCCCCTCTTTTCAAATCCAGAGAGACAGTTAGGAGCATCAAAAATGTAAACTATTTACTGTTACATAGACATTATGAATAAAGGATCTTCTACTCAAAACCAAACTGATATACTTTTAAATCTACATACTAAGTTTCCTCCTCTATTAAATGGAGAAGTTAGGTAAAAGGGTAAATTTAACATTTTTTGAGTGCTTTCTTATGGTAGGCACTTTAACACATGCAGTATTTCATTTAATCTGTATGGCAATTTTTGAAATTTTATTTTTTAATTTTACAGATGAAGAAAATTATTTTTATAAGATAATTAGAGACATTAGTTAATAATTAATAAGTAGTGGAATAAATCTGCTAGACTTGAAAGCCCAAGTGCTTTTTACTACTATTCCACGCTGCCCACATAAAATGGGATACTACTACTTACTTTGCAGAAAATTGTTGTAAAGGTTACATAAAATAATATGGTAACACAAGGGCACAAAAATTTTTCCTATAAAGTATCCTTCTTACAAAGACTTGGGAGGTAAGATGCAAAGATAATGGATCAGAAAAGTCAAAGACACAAAAATTAGGTAAGACCAGAGTTGGCAAGTGGCACTGTGATGTTGGATCGTTACTGACACCTAGTGGCCTCATTGTTACAGACAAAATACCACCCCCCCCCCAAAAAAAGAGATCTACAATTTAAAATTCAGATGACCATCAACCTATTTTCAGTAAGTTACTATGCTTTGAATTACTATATTATGAGCAATTGTGGTGTTTCCATCCATGCTATATCTCCACTGTGAACAATAATAAGCACTTGTAAAATAAGAAGTAAAGGCTGAAAATATGCTTCTAGTGTCTTCTCTATAATGTTCCTCTGTAACCTATCTGTTTTATGTGGGAATCAGTCCCAGAGTGGTCACTTTGACCACTTCTTTGCACAGTCTAGGAAATGAAGTTGGTATGTTCACAGAAAAATCCCACTAGCTCTTCTGAGAACTACTAGAGGTTCTCAGTTAAGTTTCACTTAATTGTAAAATATAACTAGAAGGTTCTTTGCAGTTTAATGGTAAATGTCATGATGACAACATGAAAGAGAAAAAAATACAATGGTCTGTGCAGTTACCTAAAACACCACATTTTACTAATAACACATAGAAATATTTATCAGAAGTACATTTAGTACTTTGAACCAAAGAAATACTATGTCTCTTTATGTATGGACAAGCAGGCTACTCTTAGATCCACTATGACATACAGAAGAGAAAAAAACCCACAAATAACTGGAATTGAGAGGGTTGTGTAGAAGAAATTAAATTTATGGCCACAAGACTACGGCTAGAATTTATAATCTCTTGTTATTTCACCCTTGTTCAGGGCAGGGAGATTCTAATAGAAATCATCCTCAACTGTTTTGCTCAAAAATGGAAATTTTTTGGCCTGATCTTCAAGGGTCCTGTAATAAGAAGGACCTATAGAATTTGGTTTCATTCACATTCACATTTTGTTGCTCTCTGTGGGTCACTGTGCTTCAATCCATTCCTGTGTCTAGCAGACAATGTAACCTTAGGAAAAATGATATATCTTAATTTATGATAGCTATTGTGATGAATAACAAATAGAACTGTGATTACAAAACATTAATAGAATACCAGCATATATAATACTAAATATGAGTATTAAAAGTTGTAAAAACACGCCATGAATAAATGGAGCTACATATGGTGTATAGCATGATTCTTGAACGATACATGCCATGAAGATTTATTTTTAGTTATTGACAGTAAGGTCTAAAATTTGTCCCAAACTTCAAATGTGCTTCTATTACTAGATCTGACAGAAATTTGTTGCCATAAATTAAAATTATTTTCTAGAGATGTCATGCATGTTGATGTAAGCACTTTATTTAAATAAATCCTTTACAAAAATGTAATTGAAGTAAATGGAGCAAAGTATTGGATACTTACTGTATTGTTTTTTCTGATTGCAGAAATAAATGGAAACAAGAGGAAGAAAGGCAGTGATATAACAAAAATAAAATGTAAAGAAGGAAAGAAAACGTGAATGGAAGGGAAATAAAGGCTGAAGATGCACAGTATTTTGTGATGTACCTTGAAGCCAGTCTACACCTTCTTGCAATCCTTCTCCTTTTATGGCATCACTAGCACTGCAATAAAATCCGTAAAAAAAATCCATTTCATTACATCATAAAACTACAAGAATACATACTTACAATTTTGCCATATAGCAAATTAATATATTCTACTAACATATCTGAGCAAAACTGGCTAAGCACTGAAACTGAATATATATAGGATATAAAAGTCTAAGTGTTCAGGAGCAAGACATGAGAAAATTAGTCATAATTTATATGGACATTTGGAAAAGTGTATCACTAAAAAGTTACTATTCTAGGAATATTACTCAGACTGGCATTAATGAAACATACACTTTGAGTTATTGTCCCAGTAGCAGAAAAGCGTTATAGAATACACCACCCTACCAGCCCCAATGATTCAACAGCATTTATTTATTAGAAATGCTATACTTCGGTTGTAATTTAGCCATAGGATGGAGTGACTTTATTTGACATGAAGTTTGATATCTAAAAGGCATAAACCTGTAATTGTAACTTTGGTAAACTAGTAAAATAAAAAAATTCCAGGAGATATCAACCATAGTTTTTTAATTATTGGCTTCAAAAACCTGGATAGGTTGTTTAACTCTTCTGCCTTCAGTTTCTGCCTCTGTAAACTGGGGGAATATCACCATTGGCCTCAGGTGATTATTGTAAGAATTAAATATTTGAGATATGGATATAAAACACTGAACACAGGGTCTTTTCATTGTCTTTCCATTCTTGAGAGTAAACCTAAATCCTTACTGTGACATTATTTTATAAATAATAAAAACTTATATAAACTAAAATAATAAAATGCAGAAGATTTTTAGGGTATCAAACAATCCTTTTCAAAGACACAGACTAGGGCTTCCCTGGTGGCGCAGTGGTTGGGAGTCCGCCTGCCAATGCTGGGGACACGGGTTCGTGCCCCGGTCCGGGAGGATCCCACGTGCCGCGGAGCGGCTGGGCCCCGTGAGCCATGGCCGCTGGGCCTGCGCGTCCGGAGTTTGTGCTCCGCAACAGGAAAGGCCACAGCAGTGAGAGGCCCGCGTACAGCAAAAAAAAAAAAAAAAAAAAAAAAAAAAAGACACAGACTAATAGCTTCTCATAACATGTTACTGATATAGTTATTTCCTTTCAAAATATAATCGTATAATAACAATTAGTATACGTAATTAGATTTTCTGAATGATTAGGGTTCCTTTTAGTGTGCTGAAGCATGATTTTAAAATGTACTCAATTACCTTAAAGCTGTTAATTGGATTCTAATCAAAACAGAAATTACTTCCAAGGAATTACTTGTTAGACTAAGAATATGACTTATCATAAAATTATTTTAAAATAGGAAGACAGAAACAAACAGCATAAGATACACAATTATTCAAAGCAAACTATGGATTACCTATATTAATGGCAAAACATCAGTAACTGAAATACTTATATCAAGTAAGATCAATGTATTGATTTTATCAAAAACTTCTAGTCCCAAACAAGAGTACAGTACCATGAAGAAATCCTTCCCCATTGGTGGAGGTGTCACTACCCTACTAAAAACCCTGCATCTTTTCCTAATAATTCCCAAATGTTTAAATTCTACCTTTCCTTTCAAATAAATCGTAAGACTTGTACTTGGAATAAAAGCCAAAGTCTTTATCATTTCCTACAAGGCCCTATGTGACATGGCCCCTGGTTATTTCTCAGTGGCCTCATCTACAATTTCCCCCTAGATCTCTGTTCCAGCCAGCATGGACTTCTTGCTGTTCCTAGAAAACACTGGGCACATTCTCATCCAAGAGGCTTTTCACTTGCTGGCCTCTCTATCTGGAAAGTTATTCCTCTAAACCTTTGTGTGAACTGCTCCCTGACTTCAGTTAGATCTCAGAGAGGGACCACATTCATTATTCTTTCTCTTACTATTCTACTTCATTTTTTTTCATCCTCCCAACTGACATTTTATACATCTATTTACCTGTTTTATTATCTGTCTCCCTCACAAGATAGTAAAAAAGCAAATACGTACATATATCACACCAGGGACTTAGTCAAAGAACACACTGTAAGAACAATAACACAATCAGACCTGAAAATCAGAGTTGACTATATGTTTAGTACACTGGTCAAAAATAAACCAAAAAATTTTTCCTTTAATTTTCCAGACTATATTTCTCTATGAGCTCTTTTTTACTGACCAAATTTACTTGTACCTAAGACAAGAGAGATGCAATATTTTATCTCTGCATCACTGAGTGCTACTTTCTTTCTCTAAAATTAATGGATAAATGTATTTTTAATTTCATACATGCTTTAAAAACATTGCAAAAGATAAAAACAAACTTAACAAGTGAAACACTAATTGGAACTTAGTGAGATGTCCAGTTTGAATTAAGGAGAAGTCAAAATTTTAGATAAATTCAAAAGAAAAACTTGGTATTCTTCTATAAGTTGTGTAATATAGAAACTGGCAATATGTTATAAGTCCATATCCTTTTAGCATCAGGTATTACTTTTTTCTCTCACTAAAAAATATTCAGGTGTCACAATAAATCTGTTAAAATTCAATTACTAATTATTTTAAGTAGAAAGAGATTTTTCCATTTGTAAAATTAATTTCTACTTCGAAATTAAGAGGACTGCATCTTTTACTAATTAGACCTATGTTTTGAATGTTGTACTTTCTATCAAAGCAATCACAACACTTAATGCAAAAATTAAAAATTATTCTACTTCAGATGTTATCAATTTAAGTATGATATACAAAAATACAAAGGTTCTATCTCAAGATATTTCTCTACCCCAAGTCCCTCCTTTCTTCACCAACCAAATACCATAAAACCTCAAATTCCAACTCAAGAATCATTTAGTAAACACTGACTTTTCCTCTGATTTCCAAAGTAAGGAGGGTTTTACTTGAGATATGAAGCCTTGGGTACAGAAAAGTTTCAAGGGCTTTCTCAAGCTCTTCTCTTTTCAGCACCAAGGTTAGCTCTTAAAGTTCTTCTCTGAGCTCTACCACTTCCTTGTTTTGTGTTCAGCCTTGCTCTATAGATATCTTCTTATAAAAAGGGGAAAAATGGCAAGAGAAGGATATCTTCCAGCATGGAGAGGTAAGCAGGTGGTTAGAAGGAAGGTTAATTTAACATAAGGTATTGGTAGGCTTTAAAATACTAATATATAACTTCTGGTTATCCTTGTTGGAATATTTTGGTAGAAAGGCACACTGGAGTTAAATATATTAGTAAGAAACTGCTTTCCAAATAAACAACGTATAATAATTTCAGACACTAATTATTTAAGAGTTCAACCTTATTAGTATGTCCAAATAATATTAATTTTTGCATTTCTATTTATTCATATCAACAAATACTTATTGTGTATCTACTAAGTAGCAGGTACCATTACTATTCTGGGGGTTACAGAGTAAACAAAATCAATGAAATCCCAGCTCTCATGGTACTAATGCACTAGTGTAGGAAGACAGACTATAAAACAAAAAATAAAAGAAGAAGGGGTCATAAGGAAATACAAAAGTAAAGCAAAGTAAGGAAAAAACAAGAGATGGGGGTAAGGTATAGTGATGTTTCAGAGTTATTAAGAGAGGTCTCTTTCCTGAAGGAAGTGCAATAACAAGCAGGAAAATTATTTTAAAGAATGATTCCGACAATGGGAGTAACAAGTACAAGCACCTTCAGGTGGGACTGTGGTTGGCTGATTCAATGTGCAGAAGGATATCAGTGTGGCTGAACTTGGGTGAGTAAGTAGGTTGTTTAAGTTGTTCTTTTAAAGAGTTGTTTTTATTTGTCTATCCCTGAAAAGATTTGAAAAGGTTTTAACAGTAATATATTAATGAATACCTGCAAGCCACGATTCTATAAAACAAAATCTTTACCTTACATCCTACCACTTATAAAGTGAGCTTGGAAAAAACCCTTAAAGTTTGGAGATTTTTTTCAGAATGATAAAATGAAAAGTAAATATAAAACTTTACCAAATATGCCATGGTTTATCTTTGATGTTCTCTAAACACAGCAATTGAGACACTTTTACAGATGTCACTGCATCTCTAAGATCCATTTTGTTTGCAAAGAATAAAATTGGTATTCGGCGGTGCTTAATATCTAAAAGAGAAAATAAGGCTATCATCACATTTCCAGCTTTTTGGGTTATCTTCTCCCAAATCCTTAAAACTGTAATCCAATGAAATTGTTTTCCAATCACTTCTTCCCATATCACACATACATAAACATTTAAAGACATATACTGTGAAGCATGTATTTGAGTGACAGGAGAATTTTAAAAATACCTCTTCTTAAGATTATCTGCCCTCTGGTTGGAACTGTAAACTAAAGATGGATGAGGTGGGAGTGGGGGGCTCATTAAACAGTTACTGAACAGCACCTAGAAAAGGGTCACACATTTTGGGTTTCATTTTTACTGTCAACAAAAAAAGAGGTCAACTTCAAACAGAAGTAGGAGTATAAAATGGATCCTGGTTTTATATTTTAGTTGCAGCATTATAAGTAACCTAGATACTTTAACAAGATGTTTTTACCTTGTTACAATTTTGGGAGCATTTTTTTTTTTACTTTTGAATACATAATACATTTAAATAGTTCAAAATTCAGAAGAGACAAAATTGTATGCAGCAAAAGAATCTCCTCCCTCCCATCTTTGTCCTAGTCCATACACCTGTCCTCTCTACAAGAGGCAACCCATATCATCATCTGTTTCTTGGCATCCTGGCATCTTTTTATGAATATTTTACATATTTGAAAACAATTATTATATATTATTCTTACAGCAGACTATTCTCATTATTTTACACCTTTTGCTTTTCACTTAATTTCATAGCTTGGAGATTATCCTATATCAGTACATACAGAGAGCAGTTTCATCATTATTTTAACAGTTGTGAATGTCCTGTCTTTCAGTACTACGTACCATAATTTATGTATCTAGTACCCAACTGAGATATATTTGTATTGTTGCCAATATTTACAACTATAAGCAATGTTATAATGAATAAACTTGTACATACAAAAATTTGTACAGGGGCCAGAACATCTATAGGATAAATCTGAGAAGTGGAGTTGCTGGGTCAAAGGATATGTAAATTTCTAATTTAAAAATTCTCCCATAGTTTCTTCCACTGCTGTAATAGTGTAATTTTTATATTTAAATATTTAGTCCAGCTGGAATTTATCCTGGAGCAGAGAATTTCAGAGTAGATAGAAAAGTAAGATATGAAGTAAGATATGAAGTTTACAAGAAGCACACTTTGAACATAAGGACACAAACAAGTTGAAAGTAAAAGCCTTGCAAAACATATTATGCGTATGCTTAGGTGTAAGAGAGCTGGCATGGCTACACCAATATTAGACAAAGTAGTATTCAATATACAAAGGTATTAGCAAAGAAAAAGAAAGGCATTTAAAAATTATAAAAAGGTGAAGCAATCAAGAAAACAAAACAATTTTAAGTGTGTATCTAAGAGACAAGCTTCCAAATACATAAAGCAAAATTTGAGAGTATTAAAGGGAAATCAAATAAATTCACAATCATAATGGACACTTCAACGGCCCTCTTTTAGAAACTGATAGACAAGTAGACAAAAAAAAAAATCAGTAAGATTGTGGGAGATGTGTGATTGTTTTCCACAGGACTGAATGAGGAAGCAACTTTGGGTGGCATCTGTGGGAGGAAAAGGCTCCCTGTCCACACCCCCTGACATCTGATGCCTGGCTGTGCTGCTGCTTGTCCCAGATGATTATCTTAAACCGCAGCACAGAGCCTTCATTTCCCGGACTGTCCCCAGGCAGTTTATTCTCTACTCTCTCAGGTGCAAAATGGAGTTCACTTCCTCTCATGGGCACACCAAAATCACAACTGTTTGCAGAATAGCCATCAATGAAAAAGACCAGAATATATCAGAAACGATATCCTACAACTAAATACATAAAGAAGGAATCACAATACGATGGGTAGGAGGGGTGGAGTAGTGATATAATCGAATCCCATACCCCTGGGTAGGCGAGCCACAAATGAGTGAATAATTGTAACTGCAGAGGTTCTCCCAAAGGAGGGACAGATCTGAGCCCCATGCTAGGCACCTGAGCCCAGGGGTCCTGCACTGGGAAGATGAATCCCCAGAGCATTTGTCTTAGGAGGCCAGCAGGGCTCACTTTTGGAAGACCCAGAGAACTGGGAGAAATAGAGACTTCACTCTTAAAGGGTGCACACAAACTCTCATGGGCTTCAGGACTCTGGGCAGAAGCAGTAATTTGATAGGAACCTGGGTCAGACCTACTTGCTGATCTTGGAGAGGTAAAGCTCACCCTGGGGACAAAGACACCGGAGGCAGCCACTTTGGGGAACTTGTTGTACCACGTGGACACTGGTGCCAGTAAGCTCATTTTGGAATCCTTCTCTAGCTTATCTCAGCCTTGCCCTGCCCAGACCCTGCTCTGGGACTGGCTGGGCCCTGGCCCTGCCCACTAGTGGGTGAACGCAAGCTTCAAGACACCCTGGGCCCCATACCCAACTGTGTCAGGAACCGGCCCCACCCACCAGCGATTCAACACCTGCTATGGGACCCCTGGGCCCTGTAACCAGAACCCAGGACTTGGCTCTTCCTGCCAGTAGGCCAGCACTAGCTCCAGGATGTGGCTTCAGCCACCAGTGGGCAGGCAACAGCCCCAGGATCTCCTGGACCCTGACTCCGCCCACTTTAGCCAGACGCATTAAGAAAAAAATGAAGAGGGCCCAAATCAATAAAATAAGAAATGAAAAAGGAGAAGTTAAAACCAACACCATAGAAATACAAAGGATCATAAGAGACTACCATGAGCAACTATATGCCAATAAAATGGATAACCTGGAAAAACTGGACAAATTTCTAGAAATGTACAGTCTCCCAAGACTGAGCCAAGAAGAAATAGAAAATATAAACAGACCAATTACCAGTAATAAAATTGAGTCAGTAGTAAAAAAAAAAAAAAAAATCCCAACAAATATAAATCTAGGACCAGGTGGCTTCACAGGTGAACTTTATCAAATATTTAGAGATGAATTAACACCAATCTTTCTCAAACTATTCCAAAATGTGCAGAGGAAGGAACACTTCCGAACTCATTCTATGAGGTTAGCACCACCCTAATACCAAAACCAGACAAAGATATCACACACACGCGTGCACACACACACACACAAAATTACAGGCCAATATCACTGATGAACATACATGCAAAAGTCCTCAACAAAATATTAGCAAACTAATGCAACAATACATCAAAAGAATCATGATCAAGTGGGATTCAACCCAGGGATGAAAGGATTTTTCAATACCAACAAATCAATCATTGTGATACACCACATTAACAAGTTCAAGAATAAAAACCATATGATCATCTCAATAGATACAGAAAAAGCTTTGAAATAAATTCAGTATTCATTAATGATTATAAAACTCTCTAGAGGGTGGGTACAGAGGGAACATACCTCAACATAATAAAGGCCACATATGACAAGTCCACATCTAACATCATATTCAATGGTGAAAAGCTGACAGCATTTCCTCTAAGATCAAGAACAAGACAAGGATGCCCACTCTCACCAATTTCATACAAAACAGTTTTGGAAGTCCTAGCAACAGTAGTCAGACAAGAAAAAGAAATAAAAGGAATCCAAATTGGAAAGGAAGAAGTAAAACTATCACAAGGATCTGTTTGCAGATGGCATGATCCTATACATAGAAAATCCCAAAGATGCACCCCCAAAACTACTAGAGCTCATCAGTGAATTCAGTAAATTTTCAGGATACAAAATTAATGTAAAGAAATCTGTTGCATTTCTATACACTAACAACGAACTATCAGAAACAGAAAACAAGGAAACAATTCCATTTACAATTGCATCAAAAAGAATAAAATATCTATGAATAAACCTACCTAAGGAGGTAAAAGACCTATACTCAGAAAACTATAACACACTGATGAAAGAAACTGAAGATAACATAAACAGGTGAAAAGATACACTGTATTCATGGATTGCAAGAATTAATATTGTTAAAATGACCATAATACCCAAGACAAAATACAGATTCAGTGCAATCCCTGTCAAAATACCAATGGCATTTTTCACAGAACTAGAACAAATAATTTAAAAATTTGTATGGAAACACAGAAGACCCTGAATAGTCAAGACAATCTTGGGAAAGAAGAACAGAACTGGAGGAGTCATGATCCCTGATTTCAGACTATACTGCAAAGCTACAATAATCAGAACAGTATAGTACTGGCAAAAAAACAGACACATGGATCAGTGGAAGGATCCACTGATCCTTGTGATACACCACATTAGGACAGAGTGCCCAGAAATAAACACATGCACTTATGGTCATTTAATCTAAAACACAGGAGGCAAGAATATACAACGGAGAAAAGACAGTCTGTTCAATAAGTGGTTCTGGGAAAACTGGACAGCTACATGTAAAAGAATGAAATTAGAACATTCTCTAACACTATATCTAAAAATAAACTCAAAATTGATTAAAGCCTACCTGAAATCATAAAACTCTTAGAAGAGAAAACAGGCAGAACACTCTTTGACATAAATTGTAGCAATATTTTTTTGGATCTGTCTCCTAAATCAAAGGAAATAAAAGCAAAACTAAACAAGTGGGACCTAATTAAAGTTAAGAGCTTTTGCACAACAAAGGAAACCAGTGACAAAAATGAAAAGACAACCTACTGAATGGCAGAACTTATTTGCAAATGATATGACCAATAGGGGTTAATATCCAAACTATATGAACAGCTCATACAACTCAACATCAAAATAACAAACAACCCAATTAAAAAATGGTCAGAAGATTGAACAGACATTTTTCCAAAGAAGATATACAGCTCACCAACAGGTACATGAAAAGATGCTTAACATCATTAATTATCTGAGAAATGCAAATTAAAACTGCAATGAGATATCACCTCACACCTGTCAGAATGGCTATCATCAAAAAGAACACAAATAACAAATGTTGGTGTGGATGTAGAGGAAAGGAAACCCTTGTACACTGCCGGTTGGAATGTAAGTTGGTGCAGCCACTATGGAAAACAGTATGGAGGTTTTTCAGAAAACTAAAAATAGAACTGTCATATGAGTCAGCAATTCCACTCTTGGGTATTTATCAAAAAAAAAACCCCAAACACTAATTCGAAATGATATATGCACCCTAGTGTTCATAGTTGTCAAGATATGAAAGCAACCTATGTGTCCATCAGCAGATGAATGGATAAAGAAGATGTGGTACGTATATACAATGGCATACTACTCAGCCATGAAAAAGAATTAAATATCACCATTTGCAACATGGATGGACTTGAAGGGTATTACGCTGAGTGAAATAAGTCAGACAGAGAAAGGCAAATACTGTATGATATCACTTATATGTGGAATCTAAAAAATACGACAAGCTAGTGAATATAACATAAAAGGAACAGATTCGCAGATGTAGGGCACAAACTAGTGGTCACCACTCAGGAGAGGGAAGGGTGGAGGAGCAAGGTAGGGGTAGGAGATTAAGAGGTTCAAACTACTATGTATAAAATAAATGAGCTACAAGAATATATTGTACAACACAGGGAATACAACCAATATTTTATATTAACTATAAATGGAACATAACTTTAATATATTGTGAATCACTATGCTGTACACCTGAAACTTATATGATATTGTATTAACACATCAACTATACCTCAATAAAGAAAGGATGTGGAAGAAGTGAATAACACTATCAACTGACATTTATAGAACTCTTCAGCCAAGAACAGCAAGATATACATTCTACGTAATTGCAGATGGAACATTCACCACACTCAATCGTATATGTTAGGCCATATATTTCTAAGAATAAAAATCATGCAGAATAGGTTCTTTGATCACATGGAATTAAATCAGAAATCAATCACAAAAATATACCTAGAAAATTCCCAAATATTTGGGAAATTAAATAATAATACACTACTAAATAATCCAAGCATCAAAGAAGAATTTACAAGGTTAAGCCTGGAAAATATTTTGAGCCAAATAATAAAGAAAAGAAATATATCAAAATTTGTGAGATATAGCTAAATACTCAGAAAATATGTATTACTTTAAATGCTTTTACTATAAAACAAAGGTGTAAAATGCTTTATTAGAAAAGAAAGGTGTAAAATCAACAATTTCCACTTACATCTGAAAAAGATTCAATTTAAATACAGAAAGTTCATAACAAAAACGGAAGTTCTTAATAAAAAGAGAGCAGAAATTAATGAAGTTTAAAAAAGACACACCCACAGAGGAAAATACCAAAACCTAAAGCTGGTTCTTGGAAAATTAATAAAACCATAAACTCTTTAAAAGATGGAGCAAGAAAAACGGGAGGAAACATAAATTGCCATTATTAGAAATGAAAGAAGATATGTATATCATACAGGTCTTACAGACATTAAAATGATAATGAGAGGATGTTACAAACAATTTTATGCCAATAAATTTCACAACTTAGATAAATTAACAAATTAACAAATTCAGTCACAAATTACCGAAAGTGACGCAAGAAGAAATACAGAACTTTAATAGCCTTACATCATTTAAAGAAACTGAATTTATAATTCATGCCCCCGACATACACACAAAATCCTGACCCAGATGGCTTCATTGGTAGATTCTATTTTAATGTTTAAGTAAGAAATAATATCAATTCTACACAAATCCAAAAGATAAAAAAATAGAGGAGGAGTAAATACTCTTCAAGTCATTTTATGAGGTCTCTACAGCCCTAATACAAAATCGGGGGGGGGGCATTGCAAGATAGGAAATGACAAAATGGAATGCATTATGCTAAGTGAAATAAGTCAGAGAAAGACAAATATCATATGATCTCACTTACATGTGGAATCTGAAGAAAACAAAACACAACAAACCGATAGATGCAGAGAAGAAACTGGCTGTTGTCAGAGGCGGCTGGGGTGGAGGGAGCTTGAGATGGGTGAAAGGGTCCAAAAAACACAAACTTCCAGTCATCAAATAATTCATGAGATGTAATGTATAGCATGGTGACTACAGTTAGTAATACTGTATTGTGTATTTGAAAGTTGCTAAGAACAGATCTTAAAAGTTCTCATCCCATGAAAAAAACCCTATGTGTTGTAAAAAAAAAAAAAAATGTTAACTAGACTTATTATAGTGATCATTTCATAATACAGTTGACCCTGGCACAATGTGGAGGTGGGGCTCCGAACCCTGCACAGTCAAAAATCTGTGAATAACTTCGTTGCCGACCCTCTGTATCTGCGGTTCCACATTCGTGGATTCAATCAACTTCGAATCATGTAGTACTACTGTAGCATTATTTGAAAAAAATCTGCATATAAGCGAACGTGTGCAGTTCAAACCCCAGTTGTTCAAGGAGCTAACTGTATATACAAATATCAAATCATTATGCTGAATAACTGAAACTGATATAATATTATATGTGAATTATATCTCAAAAATATGTTCACACCAGCTTTATTCATAATTGCCCTGAACTAGAAACAGCCCAGATATTAATCAACAAGAGACTGGATAAGCAAACTGTGGTATATTCATATAATAGAATATTACAAAGCAAGCAAAAGGAGTAAACAAGTGATACAACAACATGGGTGCCTCCCCAAAACATTATGCTGAATGAAAAAACCTAGGCACAAAAATGTATGTCCCTTTCTCCTCATTTATATGAAATTGTAGAATAGGCAAAATTCTGGGGATCAAAATCAGATTAGTAGTTCCTCTGTTTCCGGGTGTGGGGTGTTGATTGGAAAGGGGCATGAAGGAACTTTTTGAGGTGATGAAAATGTTCTGTTTCTTGATTGGGAATGTAGTTACATGAGTGTATGCATTTGTCAAAATTACAGAACTATATACTTAAGAGCTGAGCATTTCACTGTATTACAACTTATACTTCAATTTTAAAAAAACCTTCATATACGTTTCAGCTGAGAAATTCCTCCTTTGGGAATCTAACGGTAAAATAAATGCATCAGTAAGTACATAAAGATACATGGACAAGGCTTCAGTTGAGGAAACCAAGGATCCCACGGTATTTAAAGCAGATTTTGCAGGAACTATTTCATTTTTTGGTCAACGTCAAAACACTTTTGGGGGAGAAAGTGGAAATATTAACAAAAAAGGGAATGTAGAATCAAGTGCCTTCTCAACCCAGATAAAAGACTAAGTTTTTAAAAGTGAAAAAGTCACATAAAAAGTACAGGCTGGATAATTTCCCCCCCAAATACTTGCATAAACTTGAGGTTGTCCAATAAAAATACCAAAGATATTATGGTTAAGCAGCAAGAATTGTTAGAAGTCCTTTTCTAAAACCACAGGTACAAAGGCCACTTAAAATGTTTTTCCATGAGTAAGGCTAAAAATGCAGAATTTCACAATACTACTGGAAAACTTACTGTGGGAAAAAAAAGAATATCTAGCAACAGGTGAATGACTGAATAAACTATGGTACATTCACAGTATGGCGTATTAGGCATCATTAAAAAGAATAATTATATATATGCAATTTGACTTGAAAGGATTTCCATCATGCAGTGTTATTTGAGAAGAGGAAGATGCAGAAGAGTGTACAGAAAATGATCCCGTCTAGTAAATAACGATGACAATTCTCATAGCGCCCAACCCTGTACAGTTTGCCCTCTGTATCCGTGGACTCCACACCCACAAATTCGACCAACTGTGAATGGAAAATACGCCAGGAAAAAATTACAGAAAGTTTCCAAAAGCAAAACTTGAATTTACCATGCACTGGCATTATTTACATAGCATTTATATTTTCTTAGGTATTATGAGCAATCTAGAGATTATTTAAAGTATGTGGGAGGATGCGCATAGATTCTATGCAAATACTACACCATTTTATATAAGGGACATGAGCAACCACAGTTTTTGGTATCCTTGGGGATCCTAGAACCAATCTCCCATAGGTACCAAGGGCGACTATATGTATCTTTGGTACCTGTATATGTTTGTGTATGTATATATGATATGAAATATAGATAAAGGTATGAAAGTAAAAGTACCAAATTGTTAATACTGATATCTTCAAAGAGGGCTGGGAGTAGTTTAAAAACAGAAAAGATCTGTTTTAAAAGAATTCCCACAATAAATATCTAAGAAATGCTGTGATCACACACATACACACACACACACACACACACGTAAAAAGATGGTAACCAAAAAAATTTTAATGTGTTGAAACATCGATTTTTACTTTCTTCCTTATTCTTTGTCCATCCACATATTTTGCTATTGACACATTACTTATATAATCAGAAAAAAAGGGCATTTTCATTTTCAGGGAAATAAAAACATTGCAAAAAGCTTTGAAATTTAAAAAATATATGGTACTGCAAGTAAAGATATTGTTAATTCTGCATAATTAATATGTTTTAAAATTCAAAAATTTTAAATAAAAGATCACACAGCGTAAACAACACGTTTTGCTTACACCAAAGAACAAAACATCATACATAAACAGACCCCAAAGCACAGACATCACAGACTGAAAGACACACACATGTACCTGGATGATTCAGAAGAGTATCAAGTTCTTCTTTGGCCACAACCATTCTTAATCTATCACTACTATCAATGACAAAAATAATGGCTTGTCCTTCTCTGTATAATATAAAGAATGAGAAATATTAAAGATAAACTTGAACATTTTTCTATGTTTACTCTCCATTTGCAATTCCTAACCTGTGTATTATGTCTTCATGTCCTATGTCCATTTATACATTACAGGCTTTGGTGCTATTTCTTATTAGTTTATATGAGTAATTAATATATTAACCATGTTAGTCATATTTCATGTAAAATAATTTCTTTTCATTTGGATCATAATATGGTAAATTTAGTGACATTTCATAATTTTAAAAAATAACAAGTAAAACCATAATCCTATTACACAGATACAACCATTAATATTTTCATGTAAATCATTTTCAACATTTCCTTTGTGTACATTCATATATGAATATCTACATCTGTATTTAAATGGAATCCTGCTGTTTTATACTGCCTTTCTGAAATATATGTACATTTCCCTGATCTTTTTTTGCAGTATAGTTTGAACTACTTTTATATGAAACATTAAAGCTCTACACCAGTGTTTCTCAAATATTTTTTACCATAACCATAGTGAGAAATACATTTTACATTAAGATGCCATTAGACACATAAGTATATGTAAATATATTTGAAATAGTCTCCTGAGACAATACTTACAAAGAGCTTTTATTTTATTCTATTTGACTTTTAAGCTGATAACCAGCCACTGCAATTGTATAAGGATTCACTTACAGATCACAGTGGCATTTCAAAAATCACTGATTTCCTTCCCATCTTTCTTTTAATGATTATAAAGTATAATGGACGTGTCATTGAATATTGTACCAAACTTCTATTTTTGCACTTCATAGGTTACTTCCAATTTTCATTACTATGAAAAACTTTGGGATAAACATCCTCCTAAATACATTTTAAAAATTTCTTGATACTTTAAGATCTGTTCTTAGGAATAAAATTTCCAGAAATACATACAAAATTTAAAGTTTTAGATAAACATTGATAAATTATCCTCTGGAAATGTTATATCAATTTATACTACTACCAGCACTTTTCCCACTCCCTTGCCAGCATGGCTCTTATCATTCTTTTCAATTTTTTACCATCCTAACAGCATATTATTTTACTTTGTATTTTGTTAATTGCTCATTAAGTTCAATATATTTTCATATATTTATTGGACATTTATATGTGTTTTGTGACTCAGTGTAATCATAAATTAAGATTTTAAAGTTCAATGCCATTAGTAACCACATGCATATAAAAATAAAACAAATTTTTAATACCATTTTCTCCTATCATTTAAAAAATGAATGCAGATTATCACAGTCACATATTATTAGTGGAAATGGAAACTGATATAATTGGAAATACCTATCAAGAGCTTTAAAAATGTTCACTTTGAGCCAGTAATTTCATTTCTGGAATTTATACTAAGGAAACATGAAGTATGACAGAGATTTATACAGTAATATGTTAACTGAAGAACTGCTTATAATCTTCAAAAACTGAAAACAGTCTTTATGTCCAAAAATAGAGAAATGATTAAGCAAATTTGGGCACAGGAATATGAAAAAATATTAGGCTGCCATGAGAGTTACATCCTTTCTATGTTTTTCCTGATTCACCCTTATCATAAAATGTTAACTGAAAAACTATATAGTACCCGGTACATACTTTAGAAGGCTACTTTCTCAATTATGTAAAGTGTATATTATATATTTCAAAATAGAAGAAACATACCCAAAAGATTAACAATGGTAAATTTATTAGTGAGATTTACAGGAAACAATGTTTAAATATGCTTTTCTATATTTTCCAAATATTAACTCCTTTCCAAATATGCACTCTTTATATTTTATGCTTTATTACTTTTTTTATATTCTAAGAGTAATATGCAAAAGTTATACAATAATTAACATTACAGAGTCATACAAATGACAAACTAAACTTCCTTTATAATCTTATTCCCAAAACAAATGCTATTAATGGTACGGTATATTCTACTAAGAATTTTCTTCTCTCTCCATATATATTAAGCACATACTTTTATTAAGAATAATTTTTTTCTTCATATAATTGATATGAAAAAATGTCATTATAAATAATTCTCAACACACATTCTTTTCTGTGTATCTTTGCCCAGTAGTCCTAGTCATACTGTACTTTTCTGAAAGCAAAAATTATGGCTGCAGGGCATGAACATTTTTCATTTTAACAGATATTGATAAATTATCCAAGAAAGATGTTACATTCTCACTACAAGAGTGGCTTATTTTTGCCAACAGTAGACTTAATCTTTTTAATCTCTTTCAGTCTAATAGATTAAAATGCACTTGTTCTTTCACAATTAGAAAAGTATAGAGATAGAGGAAATAAATTTACTATTACTGTAGACTTCTCAACAGTAACCATATTCGGCATTCCACCTACAATGTACCTATAATACTCCTGAATTCATTAACTTCTTCCAAAAAGATTTTGAAGACAAAGAAGTTAAAGTCAGAAAAAAAGCTTCCTTTTTAAAGTACTATTTTTTTATGCAGTATTGTTTTCCGTAATTAAAATAAATGTTACATTTTTTTAAAGTAACTAAATACATTTTTTTTTAGAAAAAAGAATTGTTTACCTACTAATTGGAAGAAGAATAAAAAAATCCTATACTGAAAACTGAGGTTTCCTTAAAAACAAAAACGCCTCACATTTCCCCCAGAGAATTTATTGTAGGATACCACAAACATTCCACCCCTCCTTTTCCAAACTGGCCCTCAAATCTGAAGCATTCTTCTCTTTCTACCTCAGAGGTCCTCTGGCTCTATATGATTTAAATAGGCCCTCAATATTTAAAGAATATCTGGAATAAATCTCCTTTGGTTCCTACCCAAGGAATACAACATTTGTCCCCACATTAGCATGAAAGAATTAGCCAATGAAAATTAAAATCTGATCTGGCAGTCATCACACACCATTTCAAGACAAGAGTTCATAAGAACAAAAGTGCATTTAGTGAAGAGATACTGTTTATAAATTTCAGACTCCAAAAGTGAGTTACACTCATCTTAAATGAAGAAGTCCTAGCAATATTACAAGTTTAATGAATTTATTTTAACATCGCATGCAAATCTTGAGAAAGTGTAACACACTTGGATCCTAGCAACTTGACAGCTATTAATCTGAAGAAATTGGTGAGCACTTGATTTGCACATGCTAAAGATATCTTGTTTAGAATTGCTTGTAGAACACATGGATCAACTATTAGTGCTGTTATTTTAACTAAATTTATACAGTAAGTATTTACTGATCTATCTGGCCAGAATCATACTTGGTCTTGAAGAAATACTGAATAAAAAAAAAATCCCTGCCCTTGAGGAGTTCATAATCCCACTAGGGAGGCAGCTATGGTGCATGAGTTTAAGATGTAATAAGTACGATTCAAGAGATATGAATGGACGAAGTACCGTGTCAACATGGGGGACAGAATAACTGGGCAAAACAGTGGAATCCTTCATAGAGGAGGTGACTTTTGAGCTAGTCCTTAAAGAACAAATATATTAACCTTAAGTTGCAGAGAAGTAGGGTAGAATAGGACATTAAAAACAGACAGAACAACATATGCAAGGTCAGGAAGAACCTGAAGCATTTGAGAAATAATGTGAAGTATGATTATACTTTTTTTTTAAATTAGGAAGTATACTTAAATTATATAAAGAATAAACATTGCAACCTAGCCCATGTAATCATTTGGATTTCTAATCATTACTGGTTATTAAAATATAACCATCTAGTTTACCAACATTCACAAACATACTTACTTATAATAGTGTTCCCAGAGATTTCTGTATCTTCCTTGACCTGACATATCAAACACTGTAAAAGACAAACTATAAAACAAAACAAACAAAATGAAAAAACATGATTACATTATAAGGTAGTAAAAGTCTAACTTTTACTTAAAATTTTAAATTGTTTTCAATCAAAGAAACCACCCTTAATATACAATATTCAACTTGGGCCAGCTTTCAAGTACAAGTGCCATAGAATGAATTTTTTGAATATAAATATGATTTTACAATTAGTAACATATAAGAAAGATATTTCCTTTGCTAGTGACGTTGTCAGAGTTTATCTAAACTCTAAATTCTTTAGAATAATCCAGAGGTAGTGGTACAAGTATTTTAATATCTATGGGCTTCTGAAATAGCAACTTACTTTTTTCTAAGAGTAGGAGGAATAACTATGTAGATCCAATATCACTTTTCACCCACAACTTCTTAATCACAAGTTTAATAAAATGAATTACCTGGACGATTTGAATTTCTCTATGCTGAATCCTATTGTTGGAACTATATCTTGAGATTGAGCCTTTAAGAGAGAAGACAAAGTTTAGAAAATTGCAATGACCAAAGATGAATTTTTCCTCAGGTTAAAAAAAAAAGCACCCAGATTTTCCAGTTCTAAAATCTGCCACTAAGGAGATGACAGGATTAAACAAAATTATAAATTTTGCAATGAGATCACTGCATGTGAATTCTTTATAAAGTTTAAGGTTTACTAATTATAAATCTGCATGTGTGTCTTCACATTCACATTTTGTGGCTTGCTGCAAGTTACCACGGACTTAAAGTGGTTTCAAAAGTCTCCTTCAGCTCACATATAGGACTTTCTAATCTTTCATACTTATTGAGTTTATATATGCTACAGAGGACTGTGCTCATGTGTAGATGGTGAATATACATGGTCCCTGCTCTCATGGAATTTATAATCTGGAGGAGGTAAACAGCAGTAAACAACTGAGTTACAAGTGAACACAATTTTGAGCAGTGCTCAGTGCTATGAAAGGTGATTGAGGGTGGGAGGCAATGGGGCAGAGGAGGGTTAGTATAGAAGAGCCTCTCTGATGAGGGGACATCTCACCCAGGAGTGAATGTTAAGAAGGGGAAAAGCTATGACAAGATATTGGCAAAGAACATTCCAGTCAAAGGAATTAGCCAGGGCATGACCTCAAGGCGGGGAGGAACTCACCACCACTCAGAAAAAGTAGAAGGCCTGTATGTCTAAAGTATATTTAGTGAGGGAAAGAGCTGTATGTAACCAAGTAAGATAGGTAGGGCCTTGAAGGCCATGGTGGGAACTGTGTGGAAAAGAGATTACAAGGGGGCAAGAGTATAGTGGGAGACCTGCTGACACATCCCACAGGCAAGTAAAAGGTCTTAAATGGACAAGTTAGCTCATCAAATGCATCATAATACTTCTATCATCAAAACTTTCTCCTTTTGAATAAAAATCCATTCACTTTCTAACCCAGATGCCTAGGATTTATTCTCAACTCCTCCCCCCCTTTTTTTTTTTTTTTTGCGGTTCACGGGCCTCTCACTGCCGCGGCCTC